GTGTGTGTGTGTGTGTGTGTGTGTGTGTGTGTGTGTGTGTGTGTGTGCGTGTGTGCGTGTGTGTGTGGTTTTGTGAGCAGAGGTTAATATGTGATGTGACAAATGTGACTTGTGGTTTCCTGAAGGTTTGCAAAGAAATTTCTCACCATTTTGCTTATCATCAAAATGAAGAGAGGGGAAAAAAATACGGCCTTATAATTCACTTTTCTAACACAATGTGCTCTGACAGCTTTTTAAATAAAAGCAGACTTCTATTTTTTGAAAGCCGGAACTGATCGAACTCTTCGTGTTCATTTTGGATCTTTTGCTTGTTCGCAGGTCAATTTTCCAGAAGTTGAAAAAGTGGAGTGGCTGAACAAGGTAAGCTTTTAGCTTTGTTCGGCTTTCATTTGCACAGTTGTTTTTGTTTTTCGTCAGTTTCCACATTTACCACTGATCCATCCACCAATTGTAGCATTTCAAAGTTAAGGACCTAACACGTGACCCGCCACCTCTTATACAAGAGCTTGAGACTAAGATAATCTAATGCAAAAAAAAAAAAGAAAAAAAAAAGATAGCCATGTCTGTGTTTGCTCAATTGGTTGTGACAGCCATCTTGAAATGAGCTGCCTCCAAAAGTTAACCAGTTGTAGAGGAGCATCCAGCGATTATTTCCTGAAAGTTTCATTAAAAGCAATGGTTCACGAGATGTTTTGATAAACAAATATACAGACTCCTTCACCTTCACCGTTTTAAAATAAGACATTATGGTTCACTTGAGTTACTCCAACAAAAGGAGCGCTAGAGCTTCAAGTGTCTTTATTATCATTTGCATCACATGTGGTACATGAGGTGGAACAAAATTGTGTACTCATTGTCCCAGTTACACCCCAAAATAGCAAAAATCTACAGTATAAAAAAGAAACAGTATACAAAAATCATGCTCACAAGACTCATGTTCAGGCTGCTGTTTAATACACCGTATCACATTATTATTGTCACGTTTCATAAAGCAAGCGTGAACAGACTCAAGAGAGCCGTCTCCCTCCTCACCCGAGGAGATAACCTGCCGCTGTAATTAAGAGGCAGGGAGAGTGGCCCAGATCATATCGCGGCCTCTTCTTCTCTGTCGGCACAGTAACTTCCCACCAAGCGTGGATATGAATACTAATAACACCAGGCTGCTCCTCCGGAGGAGAAACTGTAATGAAGTCGATGACAGTTTTATGGACTGAAGCATGTAACTGAACCTCATTTAAATCTAAATATATAACGAATATTACAGTGACTCCAATCATGAGCTGCTTTTGACGACTTTAGTGTGAAGTTTTGTCTATTATTTCCTGTTTATAGTTTATTCCAGATGCTTTTAGCCGTTTATAAACCCAAAATGTTCGGCTCGACCGTTGCTTTATTGTGCAACAGTTTTGGTTTTTGTAACTTTTATTGTTTTTAGATTAATTCATTTGATCAAATAAATTTGTTATACGAACACACTGTTCAATTCTTTCAATATCAGACTTCTTTCTGAAATCTAGTGTACTTTGCTGTATTTTTATTTTTCTTGTGCTTGCTTTTTGCTGTAGTTCTGCTATTTTAGCTTTTAGCTACAGTGTTGCTTCTTGGAGTTTTTAGCTGTCCTACTTTTAGCTATTAGCAACTGTTTTGCTATTTTTAGCTAGAATTATACTTCTTTAACCTATAACAATCATTCAACTATTATTCGTTTTTAGCTACCATTCTTCTTTTAGTCAGCAGCAAACTGGTTGATCCACTCTAAGAAGGTGCTATTTAAGAGACTGAGCTGAAAACAGCACCTCAGACTGAGGAAGTCTCTTGGATGAGAGACGAAACGTTTCTATATTTTTTTGCTTTGTTTTATTTTTTGTTTTTTTGAATGTCCAGAGGACCAGATTGAACTTTTTTGGATTTTTCTACCTGGATTATTGAGCATGCATCAGGAGATCTTCAGCTACAGTTTTACAAATTTTAGCCACTATTTTGCTGACTTTAAAATATTTTTTTTCCTGCTTTTAGCTACAGTTTTGTTAATTTTAGCATCTGTTTTGGCTTTAGCATCTATTTAGCTCAATTTAATTATTATTCTGCTGCGTTTAGGTGGAAGTTTTAGCTAGTATTCTGCTAATTCCAGTCTTTGTTCTGTTTCTGTTCAATTTATTCAGCAATTATCAGTAAAGTCTATCAGCACTCAAGCTTTTTTTTTCTTTGCTCAAAAAGAAATTCTTTCTCTCATTGTTTGATGCTTGTTGTCTGTAGACGGGTGCCTAATAAATCTGCTCTGTTGTGTAGCTCCTGCAACAGGCTTGGCCCTTTGTGGGCCAGTATCTGGAGAAGCTGCTGGTGGAAACCATCGCTCCGGCCATCCGAGCTTCCAGCATTCACCTGCAGACGCTCAGCTTCACTAAGGTCAATCTGGGAGAGAAGGTAGGTGGATGGAGTTGTCGTGCCTGCTGCAGCACTTCCTCGACTCCCTGCTTCTTATAAGAACTGTCTTGTTTGTGTAAAAGCAGCTGTTTGTGTTCACAGGCTGTGAAGCTGGTCGGCATAAAGGCCCACACCGAACACGATAAGAGACAAGTCATGCTGGATTTGTACCTGAGGTAATGCACCACAGTTTTTTTTTTTATTAATCTATCATTTTCATGCACTGCTGCAGCTTTCTCATTAGAGGCTGAATTGTTAATGAAATACAACACCTTAGATGTGCCTTCCTCAACAAGACAAGACCTCTCTGTGTACTTAACGCAAAGAAAACATCTGAAGCTGCTTTCCCTGGGTAAATGTTTGTCTTTGGATTTACTTCTCATCTTCTGTCACAGCTACGCCGGTGACGTCGAGATCAATGTTGAAATCAAAAAGTACTTCTGCAAAGCCGGGGTAAAAGGCGTCCAGGTATGGTGAGCATTATTAGCATATAATGTAAGCTTGAAAAGAGATTTTTAACTCCATTTTTTTGTCTTTGCAGCTCCACGGAAAGCTGCGTGTGATCCTTGAGCCTCTGATTGGAGACGTGCCACTGGTTGGAGCGGTGACGATGTTCTTCATTCGCAGACCTGTGAGTGTTTTTCTGTTTCCCATCTGAGTACTGGTACTATATTTATTCACATTTTCTGTCCTTTTTTTTTTTTTTCAGAAACTTGACATTAACTGGACTGGACTCACCAATCTGTTGGATATTCCTGGTCTGAAGTGAGTTTTTATGATTCAGATGGCTCATGTTACCGCCTATCTGAGGTCTTAATCTATTAGAAAAGTTAAGAATTTTCCAGAATAAATCTTTGTTCAGTCGGAAAAGGTGTGGATTGCTCTCTTTGGGTCGAGGGTAGTTCTGCCTCAAGTGGAGGAGTTCAAGTATCTCAAGGCTTTGTTCATGAGTGAGGGAAGAATGGAGCGTGAGATTGACAGACAGATTGGTGCTGTGTCTTCTGCAGTATTGTGGACTCTGTGCTGGTCCATTGTGGTGAAGAGGGAGCTGAGCTGTAAGGCAAAGCTCTCTGTTTACCATCTTGTAAGGATGCTTCCTGGGCGCCTCCCTAGGGAGGTGGTTTGGGCATGTCTGACTGGGAGGA